TCACCACAGCCTGACTTAATTTATTGTTCCAAAACAATTCTTAATGTTCAATGGTCAAGTGATGCTATCAAGTAAATGAGATACGTTAAGGGGAGCACTTTAACTTTTAGGGTAAGTGCAAACAATACAAGTATCATTAAGATTCAGCCTAAAAATAATGGTTTTTCTTAATGATTAGGAAACATTACATAAATGAAAGTATTACAGAAAGTGACATTATGACATTAATTTATTTTTCCGTCTATCTATTTCAATTTTCCTACAATAGTAAAAGAGGGGTGGAAAAGAAAAGGAGAAGGAAGAAGAAAAGGAAAAGATGATTCCTCTGTAGTTCCCCAAACACTTCTGGTTTTAAAGCAACTCAGAAACTTCTCAGGATAAATTTCAGCATCTGAAGGCACTGAGCTACCCATGTAATTATTCACACTCAGAACAATAGCTGGAGTCCAGCTGTCCATCACAAGCCTCTATCTGGAAATAGATATATAACAGACCATCAATCAGTATTTTTGAGTCAGTCAATGAATGCCCATGTAATAAAGAGTACTTGGTAATCCATACCTTCACTAGGTGTTGTGTAGATATTTGTTATGGTATACAGCCTGGCAGTCAACAGCACTTTCTCATAACAGGAAAAGACTCATCCTCCCGCTTCTTGCAACCTTAGTTTTTCCTACATTTATAACTTAAATTACTAAAAATTGGCTTAGAATTGAGAAAAACATTTGTTTTCATAAATCAACAAGGCGCTCCAATGCTCTGGTCTGAAATGGTCTGAAAATATGTATCTACGTTATTTCTTCTTTTCAAAGCATACCATTTCTCAGTGGACATCCAATGCATTCCTACTGAATACTCTCTTGCCCGTGGATTTGTGCTGGTGTCTGGAAGATATTGAAGTGGGGCAGGTAAGTCTGGAGGTCCTAGACAGACTGGAACTGCAACCTAGGCCCAATAGAAAAGTATGCATTTTCTTTTATAATGAAGAAAATCACTTGGTTGTAATGAAAGTCCAATTGGAGCACACTGGGAATGGTTAAATGAATCCCAAATTTCATGGCAAAAAGTACCATGAAATTTTATAGACTACATTGATAGACTCACATATGGGATACACAGCCTTAGAACAATCAATCCCAAAGGCAAAGTATCACATGATGGAAGCAGAGTAACCTAAGCTAATTTCAAAAAGAGTCACATTAACACCAGGGCATTTTAATTAGTTATAGAAAAACTCACCAAACAAAATAGAGATATGTGTAATATCATATACTTTTGTGAAGGAACTACAACAGTCAATAAGCCAAAAGGTCCAAACATCATGGCACCTAAATACATAGAGAAAAACTATGTAGAAGAGCAAGAACTTCATTAACATGTAATTATGAGAGATGTTGATGCATTTTTTTAGAAGTGAATCAATATTGCTTTCAATTATCTACATTTTTAGTAATAGATCTTTCAATTGGAGATTTTTTAAAATATATCCATTAACAAATTATAAAATTTAGTTATGTATTTGGGCACCAAGAATGTGCAAAAAGATTTTTTTAAAAAGTTGAGGTCTACAGGCTCTATAATCTGATAATAATACAATAAAATTTGTATACAAAGAAAAGTCTTTACTTAAAAATGGGAGATATATATGGTATATATCTATATATACCTATATATATCTATATATCTATAGCTATATCTATATATCTATATATCTGTATATATCTATAATTAATCTTGGGAATCAAACAACCAAAGGTGGAGGCTAGGGGTGTAGCTCATGAAAGAACACTTGACTGGCATACCCTTGGATCCCCAGATTCTCCAATTATCCTGGAAAAATGAAACCAAAATCTATAGGTCATGGGAAAAAAAAAGTGACTCAGATGCAGTTTAAAATATTTGTAAATATATTATCTGTAAAATATTAAATTTAAAATATTTATAAAATATGTGCTTAATACTTGTTTTAAGAAATCCAAAATAAAAATAATAAATTAAGAAGCTAGGGCATGAAAGTGAAGGAAAGACAAAAAAAAAAAAATTTAGTAAATTTAAAATCTGTTCTTTGAAAAGATCAACAAAATAGATAAACTTCTTCTAAACCTGGAAAGTCGGTGTTCTCAAGCCTAAATCAATTTTTTCTTTTTTTTCCAAGGTGTCTTCTAAACCTAACACAATAAAGAAGGAGAAAGAAAAACTAAGAATGAGAAAACAGTAGAGTTTCAGAGAATTACAGACACACGTCTAGGTCAATGAAAGGGCGCCGTGCTGCCAGGTAACCTTCCTAGAAAAAAAACAAACAAATCAGTAAAATTGACCTGAGAGATTGTGGGGAAAGTTGAGTAGATCAATTATCATAGAGAGCAGCGAAGGTGATTGAAAAGCTGTCCTTGAAAAGGGGGCTGTGACCTGACAGACCCCAGCTGAGTCCTATTTAACACATAAAGGAAAGGTAATAATGAGAAGGCCTTTATTCCAGTGCTCGCCAGCCCCCAGCATTCCACCCTTCTCTCTTCATCCACCCTGGAGGCCTGGACGACCCACAGCCCGCCCCAACTGGATTCTGGGAAGCACCGACCCTGGAGCCAGGGGCTGAAACAGTGTCGCTGGAGTCAGGCTTGGGACGGTTCTGGCACCTCCACTGACGGTCCTTTAACCACTCTAACCCTCAACTCTCTCGTTCACCAAGCCCCCACTCCAGAGGTCCCTGAGATGAGCTGATGCAATGTCACCGCGTCAGCTCGTGGTCAGTGCTGGGCACGGCTGTGATTTCATGTGGCCTTACAAAAGGACACCAGAAGGAGGCGGGAGGGAGAAGGTCTAACTTCCTGCTGGCCCAACTGTCCTGAGAATCCTAAGAACCTTCTTCTCCATTCCCGGGTCGGGGTTCAGGGCGTGGCACCCTGGCTTCCCCTCCTTTCCTCTACTTCCTCTTAGAGCTCCTAGGACTTTCCTCTGAGATGTATTCTGAGCCGCAATTCCACCCCCTCACTTCTTTTTTTACTAACAAACAAAAACTATGTATGTCTACAGTGTATAATGTGATGTTTGGATCTATGTGTACCATGTGGAATGATTAAGTCGAGGTCATTAACCTCACATTTTTTATCTTTTGTGATGAGAACATTTAAGATCTACTCTTATCAATTCTGAAGTATTCAGTGTTGCTGACCATGGTCACCATGCCGACATTAGATCTTTAAACTTACTAATCCTATCTAAAACTACTCACCCTTTCACCAACATCGCCCCACTCTGCCCACTGACCCTCACTCAGCAACCCACCAACCTAGTGCCTGCTTCTAGGAGTTCAACTCTTTTAGATTTCACAAATAGGAAGTGTCTGTCTTTCTGTGCCTGGTTTACTCCGCTTAGCCTAATGTCCTCCAGGTTCACCCATGCCGTCACAAATGACAAGATTTCCCTTTCAGTAGCCAACTAGTACTGCACTGTGTCTGGATGGATGGAGAGATAGATAGATAGATAGATAGATAGATAGATAGATAGATAGATAGATAGATAGATAGATAGATAGATATCACATTTTCTTTATCCACTTATTCGTTGATGGACACATGGTAATTCCATATCTCAGCTATAATGAATAACACAGCAAGGGACATGGGAGTGCTGATGTCTATTTGAAATACTGATTTCATTTCCTTTGGACATACCCAGAGATCTATATCCCTACCCCCTTGCTTTCTAGATGTTATTTTACTTCCTGATTTTCAATGGAAAATGGCTCAATTTCCTCAATTTTCTTCTCTGCATCAAAATACGTCTTATCCACCTAGACTTGCCTGTGTGTGTGTGTGTGTGTGTGTGTGTGTGTGTGTGTGTG